CTGGGGAGGCTACACCCTGTGGCCAGGCAGGAACCCTAATGGAGTAATAGGGACACCAACCCACCTACAAAACTTTTGACTTGTCCTGTGTTTAAGAAATGCAGGGACTGGGGATGGAGCAGAGACTGAGGGAATGACCAACCAATAACTGTCCCAACTCGAGACCCATTTCATGGGCAAGAACCAATCCCTGACACTATTAATGATATTCTGTAATGCTTGCAGACAGGAGTCTAGCATGGTTGTCCTTTGCGAGGCTCCACCCAGCAGCTGACTAACTCAGATGCTAAACACAGCCAAACAGTGGATGGAGCTTGGGGACTCTTATGGAAGAATAGGAGGAAGGATTGCAGGTTCCAAAGGGGATATGAACTCCACAGGAACACCAACAGAGTCAACTAATCTGGACCCTTGTGGTTCTCAGAGTGTGAACCTTCAACCAAAGAACATACACAGGCTGGACCTAGGCCTCTCTGCACATATGTAGCAGATGTGCAGCTTGGTCTCCATGCGGGTTCCAAACAACTGGAGAGGGGGCTAGCCTATATTTGTGGGATATTGTTCTTCTAGCTGGGCTGCCTTGTCTGGCCTCAACAGGAGAGGAAAGAACCTAGCCTCACAGAGAGACCTGGGGTGCTGGGGGCAGTAGGATACCCAGGGGCCCCACCCACTAGAGAGGAGAAGGGGCGACTGGGAAGAGGGCAGCCAGAGAATAAGTAAATAAATAAGTATTTGAGAGGTCTCAAATTGATTTTTTTTTAAATGTACTTTTTAAAGTCCTTGTTAAAGAAGATGAAATGACACCCCAAAAGTAGATGGGGAAAGATACAAATAAGAGCTGAAATCAATGAAACAGAAATGAAGAAAAATACAAAGAATCAATGAAACAAAATTGGTTCTTTGAAAAGATTAACAAGATTGACAAGTTTTTAGCCAAATTACACAAAAGGCAGAGAGGACCTAAATTCATAAAATTATAGACAACAGGGAGACATTACAACAGACGCAAGGAAATGCAGAGGGTCAATGAGGATATACTTAAAAAACATCACAGCCAAGCAGTGGTGGCGCACGCCTTTAATCCCAGCACTTGGGAGGCAGAGGCAGGCGGATTTCTGAGTTCGAGGTTAGCCTGGTCTAGAGTGAGTTCCAGGACAGCCAGGACTACATAGAGAAACCCTGTCTCGAAAAAAAAACAAAACAAAAACAAAAACAAAATTTTAAAAATAAAAATGAAATTTAGAGGCACATGGGTGGAGTTTTGAAACATTCATTCTTAATGAGGTAGCCAAGACTTAGGAAATCAAACATTGTATTTTTCTCTCAATTGTGAATTTGAATCTTCAAATATGTGTGTTCAGTTTGGTATAGCCAAATGGAGGTGAGGAAGTTTGTCAGTGGCCGTGGGGGGATTTCAGGGAAGGGATGATGGAATGAAGTGGTATAAAGGGTTAGGGGGAACGATGGTGTAGGAAGGTTTGTTTAATGGCGAGGGGTTAGAAGGGCAGTGTAATTGAGAGAATACAGAGAGGGAGAACTAACCCTAAAGAAAGTTTTTAAAAAATCACCTGGAAATCAACTAGTGTAGAAAATTTTAAAGTCTATATAGACTTACACATATTAGCTCTGCTGAGTCCCTTAGAAGCACTGAGGGAGTTTCTCTCAGTGCTAACCTCCTCTTTGCAGAAAATAAACTGATTAGATTCTGACACTGAGTCTCCAAGGCTTTTCAAATCAAGAGGAGAGGTGACTCAGCAGACTAGTAAATGTTTGAGACGTGTCCTGTAGTTCCAAGGAACTCAGTTGACCTTGGAAGGCCAGGCCCAAATAACACTTGAATTCTTTTCTCTCCTTGTCGGAGGCCTTTCAGTACAGCTACTGAATACCACACATGGTCAGTCACACCAGCATGACAGAGTAAGTCATGCTTTAAAACTTAGCTGTTGTATGACATTTACGTAAAGCTCAAATAGAAAACTAAACAGTTTAAACCATCTTATTAAAAGATCTGAATATAGGGCTGGAGAGATGGCTCAGCGCTTAAGAGCACTGCCTGCTCTTCCTGAGGTCCCAAGTTCAATTCCCAGCAACCACAAGGTGGTTCACAACCATCTGTAATGGGATCTGGTGCCCTCTTCTGATGTATCTGAAGATAGCAACAGTATTCATATACATTAAATAAATAAATAAATAAATAAATAAATAAATAAATAAATAAATAAGTCTTTTGGGCTGGAGAGATGGCTCAGAGGTTAAGGTCACTGACTGCTCTTCCAGAGGTCCTGAGTTCAATTCCCAACAACCACATGGTGGCTCACAACCATCTGTAATGGGATCTGATGCCCTATTCTGGTATGTCTGAAGACAGCTACAGTGTACTTATATACACAAAATAAATAAATCTTTAAAATAAAAGATCTGAATACAAGTTACAATCATAGTATATATAAGATCTCTCTCTCGCACGCACGCACGCATGTTCGGCTTTTGTTTGCTCAAACTTCCCAGGCAAACTTCATTGTTATTTGGATTCATCAAGCTAAGGTATGTTGTGAATGGACTGACAAATAACAGAAAATGGACCTTTCCTCTTTTGGTGTGATTAATTTTGTTTTCTTTTTATCCAGAGACAAAAAGCAGGACATTAGAGTGGGAACACTTGATTTATTGTGAAAAGTCATCCTTTGCTTCTTTTAGGTTGGTAAGAGCATGGAAATGTAGCAGATGGCGGTCAAGGACAATCCAGCCAACAGGTTGGAGCAGCGTGTCATTCCCAGCACCTAACTTGACATCTTCCTGGCTAGACTTGAGGATGTCTGGTTGCTTAAAAGCTATCACCTGAAATCAGCTAGTATGTATTTGCGGTGGAAGCAGATGATCGAAAGAATTTAAGAAGCAAGAGCCCTCTGAAGTGAAAACTTACGGTTTCTTTGGAGACTCAGTTGTGTCATGTGATGTTTTTCTGGAAACTGTTTTATGACAGAATGTTTTTGCTGAAGCATACACAGGAGAGGATGTTTTGCTGAGACCAGATGTGGCATTTTTCTGGAAGTTTCCTGGGAAAAGGGCATGTGGTATTTTGCTGGACTGGACACTTGAGAGAACACGTAATGTTTGGGAAAACACTTAAAACAGATTCAAGGCATCCCTTTGTTTACCTATATTGCTTCAAGACAAAAGTCAATCCCCCAGCAGACGCATCATCTGTATTAGTGCCATTTGCATTCATAAAAAGATGTTTCAAATCCAATTTTGTCTGTGTTGGAAAGCACAAAATGTCTAAAATAGTCAGAGGAATGGAAATAAGTTATATCCATGTGAGATCATACATTTCAACTTTGCCCACCATGAGAAATGCAAAACATACTATTGCTTTCTGAATGGTTGTTTTTGTAATCCATTTCATTAGTTTTGATTTCTTTATGCGACTATAACAACAATTAAATTTAGATTTCTGTGTTAGGAGCCGCGTTCGCCATTGCAACATGGCGCCGGTTTCCTGCTTCCTGGTTCTTCTTGAGAGCCTTGCTTGAATGTGCGCCTGCGCAAGGCGCGAAAACCAGTATGCTAATTTGGCGATGTCGTGAGAGCCAATGAGTGTGTGGCACGTCTCCTAGGGCTCTATATAAGCCACAGGTTTTTGGGGCTTGGGGTCCCTCGCCTCACTGCCATCTAAAAGAGCTGTACAATAAATTGCTGTCAGAAGAATCCTGAGTGTGGCGTTCTCCTTATCGGCGAGGCTGCGCGCTGCATTTCTGGGGACATATCTAATATAAAAGCTAGGGCAGGCTCTCAGGAGAAGGAGGAGAACCTGCAGTTTAAGACATTTTATAATTTTGTCCCCTGTTTTATTTGTATCAGACACTGGAGTTTTAGGGGACTGCTGCCCAGCTCAAAGCTCAGGCTTTCTCCTCGAAAGAGCAAACTTGGAGAAAGGTGCAGGGAGTTTACAACGCTGGCTGCCTTGCTCTCGTTTGTGAATAAGACCAATCTAAAAGTAACTCAAAAGACCATACAGCTGAGGGGTCAGGAACCAGACACATCCCTGACGGGCAGACAGACAGAAAAACGGGCCTCAACGAACAAAAAAGGACAAACTTCCGCTTCTTCCTCAATCCCGCAAACTCCACTCTGGCTGCAAAGACCCCTTCCTGGACGACTGGATCAAGCTGGTCAGATATGCTCAAAGCCAGACGGGGATTTGTTTACCTAAAGCTGTGGGTCTATCAGATACTCTTCTTTGTCTAAACTGTTCAATCCTAAATTAGGGAAAGGGAACTCATTTTTAGCCACCAAAATACTTCAAAACACAAGCCATCCGGAGTTGAGGGGAAGTGTTGTCCTTTTCTGCTTCGGTCTGGGTGTGCCTGGCTATGTTTGTGTGGTGTTTGTTTGTTTGTTTGTTTACAGAAAGGATCTTTCTGTGTATTCCTGGCTCTTGGAACACTCTGTAGACCAGGCTGGCCTCAAACTCAGAAATCAGCCTGCCTCTGCCTCCTAAATGCTAGGATTAAAGACTCGTGCCGCCACCACTGGGCCGTGCTTTTTGGCTTTTATTGAAAATTTGTCACCTGTTGCTGCTGCCTACTGTGTCTGAGATTTTTTTCTGTGGCTACCGGTCCTGTCTCACTTCTTTAATTGGCAGAGATGAACTCGATGCAGACCCTAGGGCGATACCACCGCCTTTTGTAGAAGGATAAATGCAAGCGTTCAGTTGGCGGTGGATTCTCGCACAGGAAGCCGTCCATACCTTATGATACCCGCGGATCGAGAAGCTGTCATTTTTAAACCGTGGGAATAAAGTTAGCGGTCTTGCTTTATCCATTCGTGAATTGGTGCCAGCTTCTGTCAGTCAGGTCTGAGCCGGATGGGAACTGAAGCCCTGTCCAATCGAAGGCGCCGGGGTGAGAAACGCGCAATCAGGCGCACAGACAAAGGGAAAGGGGCGGGCTTTCGCGGTCCTGCGAAGGCCTTTGTCCCTGACGTGCCAGCATACCACCATCTTGGGATCTGGAGCCGGTGTCCCAGGTTCGGGGGACTCTGTCGGTACCGGTACGGGTCTGCGCCACGCAGCGAGGACGCGGGGTGTCTGGACTCCGCCATGGTGAGCGCGGCGTCCCCGCGGAGCCGGTGCCAGCGGCTGCAGAGTCCCCAAGCCCGAGCCCTCCGTCCCCCAGCTGTGGGGTGGGGGCTGGGCACCCCGGGCGTCCTGTTGCGTCCCTTGTGGTTGCGAGGGGACTCGATTCCCGCTGCCGCGCTCCCCGCAGGTCACGGTCCTTGTACCGAAGCCCCCCGCGGGGTTTGGGGCTTGCGGCACGTTCTTGCAACCAGCTGTTCTGAAAGGACTTGTGCCAGCAACCGATCCCCCAGGTCACCTGGCCCCAGTGGCTCATTGCCGCAGGATTTTCCTGGCTCTGCGTCTCTGCACGACCCAACCCCACCACCTTCACCCCTTGCTTTGTGGCTTGTTTCTATATTTCAGGATCGCACTGAAGGACTAGCTATTCCATTGTACTGATTTTAGACGCCTGTCCCTTGATTTCTCACTTCTTCCCCTCAGAGCATATACTTTCTTGGGTCCCATTCTCTCGGGCATGGGTTGGAATCTGAATATCTATCTATCTATTCTCTGGGTACTACCCTACCTTCTCTGTGATGGAACCTAGGGAATTCGTACCAGAGAACTGCTCTGTCAGAAACCCAGCCCCCACAGAACAGGAATGTCAATGCTGTGGGCTGAGAATCTAGGTGTCCAGGTTCTTCCCAGAGGCAAAAAAAGAATTAAAGACCGAGGGACTAAGAAAGTAGAGAAAGGTAAACCTTTCACCTCTGAAGAGGTGAGAACAAGCATCTCTTGAAGCAGAAAGCAGCCTGGCAGGAAGAAGGGAGGGGTGGATCTCCAGATCAGGGAGACCTTGAAGTGGCCTTTGGGCCTGTCTTGTTATTGGGCCCCAGGATCTTTATTTCCGTTGATCCCTTCACCCTACATTCATTTCATCTCCGACCTGGCATCCGGTCGGAGATAACCAAGGCAAGATGACTGATGGGTCGTCTCGGTAGAGACACCACCCAGGCCTTCAGTGGGAAGTTATCTCTTGTCTTCCTTGAATGTCTGTCAGCTCCTGACACCCAATTTGTTCTCTCTCTCTCTCTCTCTCTCTCTCTCTCTCTCTCTCTCTCTCTATCTCTATCTCTATCTCTATCTCTATCTCTATCTCTCTCCTTCTCCTCTTCCCCCTCCCCCTCTCCCCCTGTCCCTCTCTTCCTCCCTCCCTCTTCTTTTCCTTCCTTTTGACCCAGGGCTTCTCACACTGTAGCCCAGGATGTCTACCAGTCCAACCCAGCGCCCTGAGCACATGAACCAACACTCTGCTTCCCTGGTCCCTTTTCTCTCCCTTCCTCTGTCTCTGTTCTTTGTTGGCGTTTCTTTGAAATCCTGAAAGTGGGTGTGAAGGTCAGACTGGAAAATGACTTTTACTCACTGAGCCCTTACTCAGGCAGATGGTTAGCCTGAGCTGCGGGCTTCCAGAACAGCTGTGTGCTGAGGGCTTGCCCCTTTCCTGTCTTCTTTTTGTTACATGTCCCCTCAGTGCCTGTTAAGGAAAAAGAGGAGAAGGCTTTTAGACCTGGTGCAGATCTCACCACAAGTCAGACTTGGCAGTAAACTCCTGTAATCCCAGCTACTTGAGAGGTGGATCCCAAGGTTGGGACCAGTTTAGGCTACAGACTGAGTTCAAGGCCATCCTGGGCAACCTAATTCAGCCCTGCCTTAAGAAAAATCCACAGGGAACCAGCTTAGTGGTAGAGTGTGCTTGGGCAGCTGTACAAGGCCCTGAGTTCCAGCCCAGTCACCTCTCTGGAACCATAGAGGTGTCAGTACTCTCTTGTCGGATAATTGGGAAATGTTATCCCCTAACTCCCAGTGTAGTGGGCCCACGGCATGGCCAAAATGGGGAATTTCTCTGAGAGACTCATGCTGCTTAGAGCCAATAGCCCTCCCTACTGAGACCCTCAAACCTAAGTAGAGATGGGATAGGGGCTCTGAAAGGTAAGTTGAGGCCGGGGAATGGTTCTTAGTGTGTGAATGACTTCCTCAGTGCCTGTCATTGGGCAGCCAGGGTGGTCAGCGGATTGGCTGTCATAGAAACCAGAAGTTGATGTCTACTAGACTTAAAGAGACTCCCAAAGGGGTGGGAGAGGCAGTGTTTGCCAATCCCCTGCCAATCTCTGAGGATGGATGAGGAACTAAAAGGTCTACAGGAGGGATATAGGCCTGAGAAAGGTATGATGGAGGAAGGCAGGGTGTGATGGAGGAAATGAGGGCCTGAGGGAGGAGGTAAGAGTCTGAGGCAGGAGGTGAAGGTCTGAGGGAAGAGGTGAGGGTCTGAGGGAGGAGGTGAGGGTCTGAGGGAGGAGGCCAGGGCCTGAGGGAGCAGGTGAG